TAGATAGGAGAAGAATGGCATCCTTTATCAAGATGCTTTATCAATGTCTTAATTAGCTAAACAGTTACAGTATCACTACTCTTACAAATCAATACCACGTACAGCCAAAAAACAGCTGTTCCCACAGTCATGTTTCTAACATTGCTCTAATAATTCAAAAGAAAAAGAAACTAAGGTATGAACCTCAGTACAAGAGAGCACACTTCACATCCTCTGCTGTTTTGAAATGAACCCAAGAGATGACTCGTATTTAAACAGCTTTTTAATAAATATAATGTGTGAAATTACGGAAATTTACATAAAAGATGCCATTTTACAACTGGTATAATCTGGGAATAGAAGGAAAGTGGAGGGCTTATAAGTAATAAAATCCCAGACTTTACTATTTGGGATGGTGCTCATGGTTTTTCAGCAGTTTAATGTGAACAGCCTCTAGAAGAGCAGCTCTGTTTACAAACCAGAGCACTTTGCATCTGGATGTTTTATACCACCACGCAAAGAGTAAAATTAATAAATTGGCAGGTCACCTTCCTAACTTGATGTTCCTGAGACAGATAATTTTCTTTCCTTCATGAAGCAAGGAAAGCATCAGGAAGAAGGGAAGTAGAGGCAGCTTTCACTCTGCTCATTCACTTCAAACCCTAGAATGAGTTGATCACATTTTGTTCATACAAATTTCCCATGTTGGGGAATTTCTTCATTTGCTTATCTTAGTTTCTCCCCTTTCAGTTTTTAAAAAGTCGAATTCTAGCAGAACCCAAGCTCAAAAATCCAACTGTCTAACCCCAGTTTTAGAATATTGCTATTTACACGATGTTGTAAGGGCCAATTACCCAAATGTCATATCAATCCAGGAGAAAGGCTTGTCTCAGATAAAGGCTGCGTTCTGTCCACATGCAAGAGGTAGGAGAAGTAATGTTTAGTCCTTTTATTAACTTACCAGGCACCCAACTTAGAGCTGTGCCTGTTTAGGCTTCTAAAAACAGTTTGCACTGAACATGCCCTCTGGCTTCCTGGAAGGGCTACTCCCATACCAGTAACTTGATATACTCACTCATGGTCACCATAACACCAGCCAAGCACATGGAAAGAAGAGCATCTTTAGAAAATACTTCAATGGGTTAAAAAAGCCAGCAGGGCACAGCTACCAAAGCCATGTCTGGGATTCTTCCCTCTGCAACACAGAGAGGGGGCTTGGTACCTTCTGGTTGTTTGCTGCTTGAAGAGGAAAAGGATGATTGTGCAGATGGCAACTTCTTGCACAGAAAATCTGTTTTCAGAATTGCAGCAATTGGCTAGTTTGAGTTGCTTTATTTCTCCAGCACCAAGCTAAGGGAGGGGGTAGAAAGGTATCAGCTCTGCTAATGGCACACGGTGTGATTAACTAAATGTTACAGGCCCAGATTCTGCCCTCGCTATGCTGGTGCAGCTCAGAGCAGGTGATGCAGTTGCACAGCCATGTTAGAGGACAGACACAGCCACGGCTGAGTTACAGAGCTTTATTACTAGTAATTTACCTGTCAAAAAGGAAACAATATACTGCATAAATGCCTGGTAAATGGTTAGAAAAGATTTTTTTTTAACCTTATCCACAGTGTATTTAATCTCAAATTACAGATGCAGACAGAACATGCTGGTGTTACTTTTAAGCATGCAAGACCTGCCTCTCTGTAAGACAGAGTGGGGATTTTTTCTGATTTTGTTTTCATTCTGAGGGATTTCTTGAATAGAAGTTTCAACAATCACAGTACACAGTTGTCTGTTGTAAAAAATACTACTATGCTTTTCAGCAATTTCCTCCCTTTCTGAAAGCATAGACAAATTAATGAAGGATAATCATAGCTTAGTCATGAAAACAATCTGTCAATATTTACATGGTGCTCTTTCATTTCTTGGTCTTTCTTTGCTGGTTTGATACTTCCACTAAGCCCAGTAAGCATCATCAAACCCTGGATTTAATAACTTGGGAAGGTGATATTTTGAGATGCTTTTGCATTAGCAAGTGAAAATCCAAAGGGAGTGAGTAAAACTGTCCTCAGCATGAATCAAAACAATTGCTGAATGAGGGGTCAGGATATAATAGGATGAAAAAAAAATGCAAAGGAAAAAAAAAGCAGGGGACCACACTGCAACTGGTGAGTCTGGTGAGTCAAGGGGAATGTGCAGCAATGAGGTCTGTGGGTGCACTGTCACCTTCCTCAGATGCTGACTGTAAAAATTTAGATTGATTTATACTTCTGTTCAAATAAAGATGCACCTAACACATAGTTATGTCAGGTCCATTTCAAACTCTTTTGCTTATCCCAGGTTTTGATATCACTTTTTTAGGGGTCTAAGGAGATTCTTCTGAGAAATTAATTGGGCCTTGAAAACTCCCATCTACAACAGCTGGTGCCCCAGGCACCGTCTGGAAGAAAGAGCAGTTTAAGAGCTATCAGATTGCTTTTCCATCTCACTGGCATTACAGCTTCATAGTTCTGACTTACTGGGGATCAAACATGGATATTGATAGCTATTTCAGCATCAATGTGATTTCTCCCATCAGAAGTGGGGGCTGTTAGTGCAGCAGGAGCAGGCCCACAGCTTTCACAGGGGCATTGAAACAAGGGGAGCAAACACTTTTTTTTGTGGCAAGTCCGTAAGAGCTGCTGCTTCTGAAACCCAGCTGCTGTTGTATTGCAAAGAATAACTCAGAGCTAGTTTGAAACCAAAAGTGCTGCCACATAGACACAGCACACTGCTTTCAGAAGGGTTTTACCCAGAAGCATGATTGTCAGCTATAAAAGTCTCTCATTCATGCTTTTTGGGTTTGTCTTTTTTTTTTTATCATTCTTGCAAAACTGCAGCCTGGGGACTAAGCGAACAAATTTTATACCTGGACCAGCTTTATCTCAGCTGATTAAGTGAGCATCCTCTCTATTTTTTCAACTTGAAAATCTCTCAAGAAGTTTACAGTTATTTGGGCTGGCAATAATGCACAGTCAGAGAAGGTACCTGGAGCACAGCATGATGGAGGTGCTTTCAGGGGCAGCACACCTGAAATCACCCACTGAACTGGTGTCTGAATCCTCCAGTTCAGGGAGAAAAATATGACACACAGCATCCCAAATCCCACAATTGGTTCCAAATAGCTTGTTTTCCAAATATTTCCAAGCGGTTTACTTGTTTTGAATTTCTCAGACACTTATGGATGACACAATCTTAGCATCAAATTATTGCCAAGTGTGCACAAGCCTCTTCCCAGAAGATCTGGCCCGGGGGTGAATAATGTACTTGGTGCATTTACAACACAATTACAAGGCAGGGCACAGAGCCTGCACTGCCCTGCTCCGCCTGTTTGCCTCAATTCAGACACTCTCACTCGAGCTACTCGGGTAAAAGCAGCAGCTTTACAATTTTTCCCACAGTACATTTCCCTCCTAAAAATCTCCCACATGAGCATTCTTACTCCTACAGCTCCACCAGTGCTAGCACATGTGGGAGGGCTGGCATTTTTGGTACAAGAACATTTGGACCCCCTCTACAGTGTCTGCTCTGCCCCCTTGAATACATTTGCAATTAATCAGAGGAACGTGTGACAAAGGGTGGTCTGCTGTGAAAGGTGCCCAGTGCACTTGGACTTAATAACCCCTCATTTCATGTGGATAATGATGCTCTCTTCCCCCCTAGACTTCCTTTTTTTCCTCCAAACTGAAAAACAATTAAAAGTTCTGATCTGCTTAGGAAAAGTGCTGTAAGAGAGCCAGCTCTATATTATTATATTGTCTAATAGACTGTAATAAAACATTATTAAAATTGAAGCAGTTGAGTTCATTTTGAAATAGATGATGTCTGCAGATAAATGTTCTTCAGATTATTCTCATTAATATTTTCACATATGTTATACTGGGTTTCATATAAACATTGTATGATCTTATGTGGTATGTAGTCAAATAGCTGGAATCCATTAAAACCATGCTCCAGCTGTGCAATCACTGTCCTCACAAAGATACATTTTTACATGTGGTTAATGCCAGGAAGAATCCACAGCTTCAATTATGGGAACATCAAAATATGTTGTTTATTGCAGAAAAAAAGCATTTGCAGCAATTTAAAATATCCAGTCAACACCACACTGCTAAATCTAGATAATAGAAATCCCAGAGAAATTTGAGCTAAATCTGTCTGGATTATAGCAGTGGGATTATCTGAATGCTAAATTACTGTATATGTTTTACTCACAAACATGAGCACAGACAGTATAGGAAGATGGATGACTATGCAGATCGCAATAAAACCCATCCCCAAGAGACTTTTTCATACACTAGGTAAACAACCCCTCTCAATTTATCAAGCATTCTGGATTGAATTAATGCTGTCATTTACTTTGCTGTTGCTGTGTAGAGGAATATGGTTTAACGTGAACAGCTCCTTTAGCACCAGACAAATAACAAAGGTTTTCTCTGTGCACCCTTCACAACACACAGTGTGCAGGAATATGAATTGGCTGCCGTGTTTGTATAACTGAATTAAAGAAAATACAACTGTAGTTCAGTGTGTAATCAGAAAAGCAGTTATACGCAATATTGAAAGAAAAGATTAACGCTGGTTGTCTTAACAAGACCTTCCCTTCCCCTCCCCCCTTGTTTACACACCAGTGTCTCTGGCTTTCTAAGGACATACAGTGGATGAACCTGGACTGACCTGACACATAGCATCTCTCAAACTTTCCCCTTGAATGATTCACAAATGTGTGAGCTGGGACCAAAAAAAGCAAAGAGGAAAAACGCAGGGTACTGCTCAGGCTGAGTGAATTTGAAAGAGGTGAGACTGTCCAAGTGTGCCACAGAGTCCCTCCCCTGCTGCAAGTGCACAGCTCCTGACTGCAAACACACACTCCTGACCTCGCCAGTTTAGCTCCATTTGACAACTGGAAGAGAAATTACCTTCAGTTCTGTTCAGGCGGGAATTATTCTAATTCTTATTCCTCTACTCAAACACTAGTTTCTATTGCTCTCTGATGCTTTCTTTGATATTCTGTGTGCCCATGCACTGCACAGTTACGTGGCATGGGAAGCAGTTGGGAGGGCTTTCCAGGGAAGAAGGCTAGACAGTAATTGCTGCTTCCTGTGAACAGCTACCAGCTGATGTAGATATGGCCACTTTCGTTTCCCTCTTCCTTGTTCAAATAATATATGTAGCTCTGTAAACAGATTAAACACAATTCTGGATCCTGAGAAACCGTCAATGTAATCCTTTGGTCAAAGTACAAACAAACAAACGGACCAGCCAGGGAGTTCAGCTGAATCCAAATTTTAAGATACGTAGTCTTTGGCAGAAAACAAATTCAGAAAGGTCACCAAAACCTTGCTTTCTTACTGAGGAGGAGGGATTATTATGAATAAATGCCATAGAAATTTGGGCATGATAGCTGTTACTGTCAAACGTGTGCATGTGCCAACAGACTGGCAATGTCAGCACTCTCTGGTGTCTGAGATAACAAAACGCCCCTTCCATTCTTCAGTTTTTCTCCCTCAACCAAAGGAGCAATTTCTCACTACTTCTGCCACTGTTTCATCTGCTTTTGTGATGAATGTCTGAACACTTGTTGACCTAGAACACAAAAGTGTAGCTGTTACGTGCACTGTCTGCAGCGTGGTGCTCTCACGGAGCTGAACCAGCGGTGGCAACAAGAAGCTATTTTAAGAGTGAAAGGTTAAAGTCACCTAGACACAAATATCACAGCATGAGTGGAAAGCTGAGTTAGTGAGCTCAGGTCTACTCTGTGTCAGTGACTGCAATTCGCATTGCAGAGACTCCAGGTCACACAGCACCCATCCCAGGGCGGGTCTCTGCATCTTAGTCTCTGTCACAAAAATAAGGTACAGAATAGAAAAACTTGTAAAATAGGTAAGGCAAGCGAAGAAGTGCAGGTTGGAAACTGCTAACAGGAACACTTTTTTTAAAAATGGAGCTAAAGCATGAGCAAAAGTAAATTCCAAAAGAACTGGGCAAGACACAGTATTGTTTCATATCATGTTACTAATTTAAAGGATAAACACTTTGATGGACTGAAACATTAGGAACAGATTTAAAGCAAAAGAAGAAATATTCTAATTTCAAACAGTACAGCACAGTCATAGTTAAAACAATAAAATAGGGTACCTCACATTACTTGCAGGAACAAGATATGCTTCTTCCATCTCTTTTATATTCATTATGAAATTTTTTTCTACTGTAGCCCAGACACAATTTAAACTATTCCCTCTGCCAGGAGAAACCAAACTATAAAGGCAAATATTAACTCACATAGCATGTCATTCAGGTAAAATAAATATGTTTTGATTAGCATGAGCAATATTTCAGGAGATGGATTGATTTCCACTCAAATGGAGATGAAAAAAATTGAGAAATTTCATTCAGCAATGTAGCTAGATAACAGCTAACATGCTTATTACTACATATGAGCTCAACCACTTTCCTGAAACAAAATCCTAACATTAGAATGAATCTCCAACAAAACTCAAATTTCTGTAAAACACTGAATGCTCAGACACACAAGTGGTTGGCACTTATCTAACAGCTGTTCAAAGCAAGCCAGAAAGGAGGTAGTTAATTTTCATTTCCTGTTGGACAGCTGACCACATAAGGAAAAACAACATTGTACATGGCATGGAACAACATTCCATGCAGCTTCATGGCTAATGTCAACACAGTTGGATAGGCTGCATGAAAATAAACCACAACCTTAGTGGAGGTGGATTCTCTACTACAGGCCAGCACTTGGTCATGGTGCCAGAGGAGCACAGGGGAAGGATGCATGATTGCTGTTCATGCTGTACTGGCTTCAAAAATAAAAAGGAAAAATGAACTTATTTTCCCTGCCATTACCTGCTTTTTTCCTCTTTCACAAGCAATATGTTACAAAGATTTTTCCAGTCCTTAATTTCCCATTGTATGCTGGTTAAGTGACTTCTTCTCTACAGCCTTCTATATTTTTGACTTTAAAGAGTCCTCAGAAAAACCTCCACTATCTCTGCTCATTGCACTCACAACTTAATGTGCTGAACTCTTAACAGCTCTTTCTTCACTGTCCCAGTCTGGCTTTGGAGACCCTTTCCTTAGATCATTCACCAAGGTTAAATGAGCTCTGACAAAGCTTTCTGGGGATCTGTTTTCCTTTTGCTCAGTTTGTGTGATCTCCAGCATCATCTCCCAAATCAGCCAGAGAAAGTTCCTTCTCTGATTTCCTCTGCACATGGGACAGGCTGTGTTGTTCTGTGCCTCAGGCCAATGAATGGAGCAGAAGAACATGAGTAACTCAGGCCTACTGCAAAGTTGTTAAACAGCAAGAGAACAGACACCAGGGATGCTGTGAGCAAACCCCTGAGAGTCTGACACTCAGAAACCCCTGCTCCTCTGCTAAGTTAGCTTGTTAGAAAATATGAAAATGATTTTCTTGTATTCAGTATCTCCTTAACCTGATTTTAATTTAAAACTATTCCACTTCTAACTGAACTAATTAATCTTCTAATATTTAAAACAAGGAGAAAGGCTAATTAAGAGACTTCAGCAACCTTACATGACCAGCACACTTTACACTCCTTTTAACTAGTTCCTAAGAAAAGCCCCGATGTTTGTTGCCACTGAATGCATTAAAATTCACATCAGAGATAATGCCTTCCTGTATAAACAGTGCCTTTACAGTGAGTGCAGCAGCTTTTCATGCTTCACAGTATCAGCTGGGGGGGGGGTTAGTGCATTTTTGGACTAAGTTTGCACTAAGGCTATCTCCTGCAATACAGCTGTTAGTTCAGCCTGGTTAAGCAGTGATAGGCAGGTGATCCTCACAGAAGTGAAGCCACTGTTCTGGAGGTGGGACATCAGTTTATGACAATCTCAGTCCAGAATTTATTATTTTAAGTTTTAATTCTATTTAAGTACATTTTAAGACTCAATTTACAATGAAAAGAGGCACAACCGAATTATGCTTATTACCAGAACTTTTACATGTTTGTTCTTGCATCAAAAAAATTATCAAATGCAACTTTACACTTATGTGTAAATTTTTCAATTTACTGATACCAGCAATAATTCTACAATTAATATTTTCACACTTCGAGCTATCTTTTTGTGATAGTGAGAATTCTTTGATGAAAACATTTGCTTTTATCTCTTCATTCAACTTGCTGCTTTTTATGCAGTGGCGTGATCTTACAGAATCTGAGTTGCCAGCACTGAAGGAGAATGTCCAAATCTAAGTACACAAAATAGCTGTTCCAATGGATCTTTTTCTTTTCATCAAGTTCTAGTGAAAAGAACCCACAACCTAGTCTTTGAACTTAAATGCCTTTGGAGTGCTCTTTTTACTCAGGACAGCCAAAGGCATAAAAGCTGATCTGTTCAAAATTAACTTCAGCCAGTTTCTTCTTCTTTCCTACCTTGTTAACTAAAGGTTCAGAACATTTGAACACAGACATTCACTTAAAAATGCTAATAAGCCAGTTGACAAGAAATTTTAAATGATTGAAGAGCCTTTTACCTGTCACTGCATCGCTTGTACATCTGTTCTGTAACACTCAATGAATATACAATACCTAAATTAAGTAGTGATTAAACTTTGTTTAGGAATGAGGACAGTAAGGAGCAATGGGATGGAAGCAAGGGCATTTTACTTTGTCTATATATGCAACTAATACATTTTGTATTTATGTACTTGTTTTTGTTAGGGAGTTGACATCTTAGGTGTTTTGGTATTGTTAACTGTTGCCTGATGAGGCAAAACCTTAGCTGCAAGAAGGGAAAAAAACCACTTTGACCACACAACAGAAACCTTTAAACCTCTCTCAGATGGGCCTGGCCTGGGAACTGAGCTCAGTGTCTGGGGTTATTTTTGCTGTAGAGAGTTTCTTCAACAGACAGATGTTTCCCTGTGCCCAAGTGTCCCACAGCAGCTATGTCAATCTGACCTCTGCATTTCCTCTCACAAAGTGATTCCCATTACAGACACCCTGCTTTAGTTTAAGCTGACTTGCACCTTACTGCTAAGGCTGATTGCAGAGATGGGAGCTTGGCAAAGTTTAAGAACACATTCGACATATGTACCTTCCAAAAGACTCAGTCCAATTTGTGTTGGTGTGTAGAAAACAAAGCCTCTGTACTTTTCCTGGTGATTGTGCTCACATCAGAGATGTTCCTTAATGTTGTTGGGATCTTGAATGTGAGGGACTCCTCAGAGTGCTGTGGGGCATCTGCAGCAAGAGATGACTTCAAGAGAAATTATGGGGGCTCAGCATGCCTAAAAACGGTGCTTTGTATTTTTAAAAGCTATCAAACATTCTGTTGTTAAAATAACATCTCTTTTTTGTGTGGCAGAACAACAAAAAGAAACCCCCTATGAATTTCTGCCGGCTCTGCAAAAACAACAATTGCTGTCGGCATTTGTTTATGAAAACAGGCAAGAGATAACAAACCAGAGTTCTCCCCCAGCCAAGTCGGAGCTACACATCTTTTACTGCAGCAAGAGAAAAACTTCATATCTCCTCTAAGCTGAAGCAATTTTGCAGTGCAGTTTAATGCACAAACAAGTGTGTTCATACTGGTGGTTTACACAGGGGCACAGAATTTGACTTTTAATTCCTTTTCTTACACTGGCACAAGTTTTCTAACAGAGAGCAGGCATTATCAGGGAAGCCAAGGGCTGAACTGACACCACAAACTCAATTAGCATTTCTTTTATCAAGCAACACAGAATATGCAAAAACATGTTTTATACTAGGTTAAGGCTACCATTGAATGCCAACGCTGACATTTTAAAATATTATAACTTGTTTTTACTTGTTACATCATATTAATTTGCTTGGTGATAGCACACTATAGTCACTGAATATTTCAAAACCAATATGCCTTACTCTGCAATGAATGAAAAATTAATAAAAATATGCATTTTGATAGTAAAGGCCAGACCTGTTGTGGTGCTGTCAACACAGCAAAGTAACTCTGAAAGCCCTCACCTGCATTCACCCTTGATATGCACACTCAAATATATAACGTGGCAAACCCCATGAAAGCAACAGTATAAAAAAGTGTTTTCCTAATGACTTTTATGCTCTGTAGCAGAACATAATCTTCCAAGTGAAGAGGAACTGGATGCAAGTGCTGACACACCTACGCAAATGAAATATTCATGATGAGCAGAAGAGGGTTTGGCTGTTTCAGGCTCCGGGGTTCTGGTTCTAAACACCAAACTGGATTTCTTACTGACAACAGCAGGGACACAAACAACAAATGCAGCCCAGCAATGAAGGGTGGGATGAACAGGAACAGAACGGAGAGATTTGCACTTGCTCCTCTTATAACTGCAGGGCCCTGCATTTTGGTGACAAGATTGTTCCTTTTCCCAAATCTGCCCTGTCAATAGAATGCCTCTCTGTTGGAAATGAGCACCTTGTTAGCTCTCTTTAATAGAAGTGAGGTGGAGTTGTCTTCCTGAGATGGAGATCTAACATGTAAAGTGACAGTCTTTTGGAGTCCCAGTGCTCAAATACAGAGGAATATATTCAGCTCAATTTTATTTCTAGTTTGCAATAAGTAAAATAAAAATTGTGAAGGAGGAGTCACTGATTTGTTTCAACTTATGTCACCTTTGTTTAAAACAGGATGAGGAGGTTATTTCATTTAGGAAAAAACTGTATACTTCCAGAGCAGACCAATGAACATTGAACAAAACTGTCTGGTAGGAGGGCCTAAGGGACTGATTTTGGTCCATGGGTGACATGTAAAACTCTTTTCTTTTTTTCTCATTTAACTTCACACAGTATTTCAGGCAGGAAATGGCATAAGATTTCCAGTTGCAGTAAAATGAATTATCCCTCTGTAGCTTTGGGAACAAGCTAGGAGACAGCACTTGAATATGTTACAGCAGCCTTTTAAGGGTACCCTCCATTAGAAATGTTGCATCTTACACAGTAGGAGGAATTTCCATCATCAGGGAAAGGTATTTCTCCTTTACTTCAACATTGCCATGTTCTCAAATCCTCTGACCATCTGTACTGGAGGACCATGTGCTTTTTTATTAATTTTCAATGTGAGATAAACTAATTCCTCTGTTTTTTCCAAAAATACCAGCTACCACTACCACAAAAAAAATCATACAATTGTCATAACAACCTGGTAATATTACAGTGGCCACTTTGAAGAGTGGTCTGAAGAGTATTTGCCAAACCTTTTGATCCCTAGTAATCAGAACAGAAGTGCCCAAAATCCAGAGATTAAAGGATTAGGCCTCAAGAAAGACTTGTGGTATTTCAAGAAAATGTGACTGATGCTCACCACTTATTTTTTACAGTGCTGATGAGATTTAGTGTTTAAGGTCCTTTCCTGTTCAGACATAAAAGCTGCTGTAATCAGAGTATTACTAGGGAAAACTACTCTGGTTGGGGATTCAATATGTTTAAATTGTTGAGCCAAGGTTATTGTTTGGATTAGGTTAGGAAGGATGACACTGAAATAAGTAAGCCCCAATAGTGCAGTGAAGCAGAGAAGAACAAAGAAAAATGTTTGTATTTTTAAATAGGAATCTGGATAGCCCAAGTATGCTGGTTATAGCCATATAAAAAAATAACTTAGACCAGCCTAGAAACTAGGTATTGTATATGTCTACACAGCTACTGGAAACAGAATAAACATTTCCATGGCATTGAAATCCATATGAAAGCAAAACTGGAGACACTGGAGATGGAAGAGACTTAATAGGTCAGCTTGCCCATCCCCCAGCCCTGTTGTCCCTCAAAATCTGTGGGCCTGGTTCCCACACACCTTCTGCCACACAGAACTTGGCACAAGCACTAACATCCATCAGGGTCATTCTGCCAGGAAACAAGAGATACCAGGTCATACTGGTGGTAAACCAGCTTAGGGTATCTGTCAGTAAGGGCTAAAGATCTTGCACAGACTTCACAGATCCAAACAGCAGCTTTTTCACAGGACATTCGTGGCTATGAATAATACTTGGTCTTCTTTGTATTTTAGGGAGTCATTGAGATGCATGAGCAAATATCAGCCCAAAAATACAGTCTAATATACAATCATGCCATTTCAAACACCATTGGATTATTATTACTGATTAGGGGGAAAAATCCAACAGCTGTCTGAGGAATTCCCTTCAATGTCTGGATTATTGATTTAATACCTACATATTGTCTAGATCCTACCATTCCACTAACGTTTGAAAATGCTGTACATGAGTTTACATTATTTTTGTCCTGTGATTGCACAATAATAATGTATTTCAGTCTGATTTTTAGGTGAATTTGTTAGCTGTTATACATGCCACACAACAGGAGTATGAAATAGCAATTGTATCTTTTAAAATAAAAACCAAGACAAGTATTTAAAGCTAAAAAAAAAATAAAATCCAGGTTTTCAGACGGCTGCTAAGTATTAAATTCCACTTACAATTCATTCCAAAATTCTGCTCTTCTCTCTCTCCCCTCCAGAAAATTGGAACTAGAAAAAGGAAGGAGAAATTTAAGGTAGAGAAACTATTTAAGTGTGAAGTGGCTGTAATGGTTACAGTTGCTCAGGTTACGGTGATATGCTTTGGATTTAAGTTTTGACATCCTCTCTAGCACATTTAGAATAAATAAGTAAACAAACAACTGCCTGGTAGCTTTAAAGTATTTGCCTTCATCTGCCGGTGCTGCCTGTCTCTGGTTTACTTCCTCCTGGCTGGGCTGAGTCTGCCCAGGGTGCGGGGTTTGTTCTGTGCGTGCCCTGCTCAGGACCACGAGACAGGGAGCAGCCCTGGGGCAACACACACCTCCTGCAAGGGTGCAGGGCACTGCTGCAGAGCCCTGTGCCCACAAACAGGGCTGCTGACTGAGAAAAGTACCTGTGTTCAGGCCTAAGAGCGTCAATGTGGTGCGGGAAATGCTCCCTCGGTGACCGCTTGACCCGGAGCAGGGTAATCTGAGCAGCACAGATGGTCCTGGGCAAACAACCTCCCCGACAAGGAAGAATGAAACACTCTGTGTCACACTGCCTCAGTGAAGCATCCCTCTTTCCTAGGACGGAGGTATGGCAGGCAGCAACAAGTCCCGTAAAAGATTTTTTCTTCCAGAGGTGGAATCAACAGAGGAAAGACAGATAAATGAGAGAGGCCTGTAGTAACAGAATTTTAATTGACTTTAGGTCTACCACACACTGAAGACAATATATGGCTCTTAACATGATTCTTGGTCTAAAAATGGTGAGCATTTGTGCATCGATATGATGCTTTTTATTTGTTTACAGTGGGCCTTACAAAAAACCCAAAAAGAACAAAAGCTTGAGCCAGCACATCAGCTGTTGTCTCTTTGGTCTGATACATTTGCAATGATTTTTATGGAAGAAAACAATGTGCCAAACCACTACTGTTCCCCTGTTCCTGACAAGTAATGTGATATACAGTGAAATCCTGTCCCGTCCTACAGTGTTGGCTGTTGATAGTATTCGAGGTCTCTACTACACATCACAACTTTTATGAGAAGAGCACAAAATTCTGTATAATGAATCTTTAAGCCAATAAGAAATTATGAACAAAAAATGTGTCTAAAAGTGTAGAGATAATAGCTTCATATTAAAATCTCATGCTTTTATATTTTTATTGGGGGAGGAAGCAGAGATCACACAAAAGTTTGTGCCTATAGAAGGAAGAGGGCCATAGGAAACAACTAAATAACACATGTGCTTTGGTCTAATCAAAGTTAAACACTGTATATTGACTCTGAGCAATCTTCTGCAGTAACTACTGCAACATCTCAGCAGCCACACACATCCCTCTGTCCCAACCACTCCTGCCAGCTGTACTGATCAAGCTCTTCTGTTCTGTGATCTACCTCCTCCTTTGCTGGAAGAGAAACAAAGGCAACACAGTGAACAACTTCGTTTTGAGTCTAACATTTCTGTTAGAGCAATTTAATTCTGGGATCATACGATCCTCAGAAAACAAAAATTGAAACACTTGAAAAATATAGATGATGTGCTGCTCTAATCACAGAGGTCCCAAGCAATAGGTCCCAATACAGCTCATTATGGTCATAAACACTGATCTGGTTAAAACCTGCACCTAACCTACTGTACACTTCAAAGCAACAAAAACATTTTTATTTTACAGTCATGATGTTTGAGTCAATTTTAAAAAATATTTGAATGGAAAAATGGAAATCTGCTAACAAATACTATTGGCTAAATCTTATACCATACCAATGCTATGCTTTCAAATGCCTCTCTTTTTTTTCCAGATAAATACTGATATACATTTTCCTGTCTCCTTATGTATCTTGCTATTGGTTGTTGTTTCTAATATAAGCCTATTCTCTACCCAGTTACAAACTATGTATTAGAGAATTAACCACATCAGGTCACATCAGGTCAACTTTAAAGTGATAAAACCTTAATGGAGTAAGGGATCAAGAAAGTAACAAAATCTCTTATTTCTGTTTTCAGCATCTCTGGAGAAATACTTTAACGTTCACTAAGAAATACTTATCCAAAGGTACTAATCTTTTCATATTATTTCAAATATAGGTACTTGAATTCTAAATCCAGTTGATATAATATTTCAATAAAATAAATAATATTAAATACACCATGTTGTGGATCTTAGAAATATTGTGCAAATCTGCAATCCTAATATATACGTGTTATTATTCCCAGAAGGCTCTAAAGAAAAAGAACCTTGTGTTCCTGTGTTTGTTAACATATTTAATCATTTATGATATAATAAATTACCCCTCTTTTGTTTATTAAGACTTAGATAAAAGCTGGCTACAAAACCAGTGGCTCTAATCTCTCTAATCTCAACCAGTGATTTTGTTGCCTCAGTATCTAACTAGCAGAGATCCTCTAGCTAATACTTTTGGCATTTTTGAGGTGTTGTGCTCTTATAGCTATATTGTACAAGAACTTTAAAAACAGTAAAATTATTACTAAGATCATATTTTAGTTCTGCAAACAGAAATAGTATTTTGGGGGAAAAAGAGTTGCTGTTTGGAAAGAGCATCTTTCTCCTCATAGCTTTCATCCTGCCAACCTTGTTTCCCTTCTCTAGTTCCTCTGTTTCCCTTAAAAACCCCCAGAACCTCACTAGAGGGGTTTTTAAAACGTGGCTTTGGTTATGATGTGTTCATGTCTCACGGAATCTACAACATAATCTATCTTTTCCCCTGTGGAGGTTAGATTTCTACTGCTGACCTCGCCTTTCTTGTTTCTCTAATCCAAAGGCATAACCGATGGAGTTAAATTCTGATTTTTTTTTTTGAAAGGCCACCATTAACCTCTTTTTTTGTTAGTAAAAATCCAAAAGTTATCGAAACAGACTGACTTCTTGATAGACAATTTTTTTCAACATCTCCATAATGTGTCTCACAGGCTCACTCTTTTCCTCCTTTGTGTCAATACCTTTGTATCAACGTTAGTTTCCTCCTTTGTGTCAATACCTTTGTATCAACGTTAGTGTTAAGAACTTCAATTTTCTATATCGATATTTCTATTTTTCATCTCTCACCAATCACATTTGTCCTGTCTTTCATTTCACCTCCATTTATCCCATTATGCTGCCTCTCTCAATGCTCAAAATCTCCAAGCATTTCTTCTGTTTTGAAACTAATACTTCTGAAGAAATCCTTCAGCTAGGCACAGACCTTCTACTTCCAGACAGCTAAGCCCTTCTGATTTCCCTTGTGCAAATCTCTTAATTAAAATCATATACAGCCCATGTAACTCAGTATAGAACTATGTTATCCTTGCTCTATAGATACCTGGCAACCCATGTGGATGCAGGACAGTGGGGCTGTTGTCACACAGAGGGTCACCATCCATTAGAAACCTGGGAAAGGAGATTGGAGTGAACGAGCAGGTGAGTGGGTAAGTAATCTACAATCTTCTTATGGTGCCAAGCAACAGGACAAGAGATGACGGGCAAAAACTGGTGCCCAGAAGTTCCACCTGAGCACGAGGAAGAATTTCTTTACTGTGCAGGTGACTGAGCACTGGCACAGTTTGCCCAGAGAGGGTGTGGAGTCTCCCTCAGTGGAGATATTCCAGAACAATCTGGCCGCAATCCTGTGCCATGTGCTCTGGGATGACCCTGCCTGAGCAGGGAGGTGGGACCAGATGGTCCCACTGTGGTCCCTTCCAACCTGCCCCATCCTGTGACTCTCGGACTCCACGAGGGACGAGAGGGCAAACGGGCTCGTGGGTGACTGGAAGGAGAAATGCAGCAAAATCACTGTGTGGGGGCGAGGGACAAAACTAACGGAGGGATTCAAACACGTGGTGGAGAACGAGGCTAAAACCAGGTGACAATCACAGAGATCCGGGAATGGGAAATGCAGAGGGACGACAGCACCGAAGGGCTGCACACCGGGTGGCCCAGCTGCTGCTAGGCTGAAAGGGATGGTGGCAGGACAACACCTACCGAGGCCAAGAGGCTCTAACAGAAGGGCTGAAACAAATAATTATGACAACGATAAACGAAACGCCACCTCAGCCCTTACCACTCGCCCCGAGCCCGTGGCAGCCCAGCGCCACGCCGGGAGCCGGCCGGTCCCTGCTCAGGGCCCCGTTCCCGCGGCTGTCGCCGGGGCCCCGACACGGCGGGACGGAGGGTGGGACGGAGGGTGGGCGGCCGCCGGTTGCCCTGGCGAAGGCGACGCCACAGCGGCCTCCGCGCGGACAAAATGTCGGCGGGCGGCAGCGGCGGGGCCCGGCAGGACGGGGACGCGCCCGGGGTAAGGCGGCGGCGGCGGCGGCTCGGGCTTCGGGGCAGCGCGGCCGTGCCGAGCCCGCCCCGCTCACTAACGCGTCCCCCCCGCAGGTGCGGAGAGCGGCCGGCGGCCCCCCGCCGCCCGCGGGGCCCGGCGCGCTGAGCGGAGCCTGGCTGGCCAAGGAGGAGCAGTACAAGTAAGGAGGCGGCCCCGCTCGGGCCCGGCGAGCAGTCGGTCCCCTGTGCCCGGGTCCCGCGGGTCGGGGGCTGAGGGCACCGCCCGGGGCCGCGGGACACCGCTGCCTCAGGCGGGCTCTAGGCCTGGCCACGAGGGCTTTCTGCACCTCCACCACTGCCTTTGCCTCTAAATTATGACTGTATAGGAGTTAAAAGCAGCTTAAAAGCTGTAAAGCTTTTAAATGGAAGCCCTCGCTCTGTTACCTGTCGGCGCTCGGCCCCTGTGAGTGTTGAGGGGGCACAGAGAGCCGTGTCTGAAACTCTGTACCCTGAACCATGCAAGGACACCAGCTCACTGCAACCCGTGCAGATACATAGCAACACATCTCTCATTATGCGCTTAAGCAATGTAGTCATACATCACTGCTTCCCCAACCTCTGCTGCTGGGTGTGCTGAAGGTAAGGACTCTGGTAAACACACAAAACACCGAGGAAATAAAGACATAAAATGTGTATTAAGCAGTGACGCATCCAAAACCAGGGACACCCTTCACAGCTCAGAATTACAGCCTAAACCTTGCTGCTTGATGGGTGTAGGTGTTTTATTACTGTCGATTGCCAGAAACCCGGGAAATTGTTGAAACATAACTTTCTTAAAACCCAGAAGTATATTTCAGTGTTCCCTTATAGGAATTGTTAAAATTTCACCTAGTTTAGGCAGAAATACTGTCATGCTTACATTTATTTTTCTTAAACCTTTCAAAAACTCAGTGACAAGTATTCTTACTCTTTCAGGCGACTGAATGCAGAATTACAAGCCAAAACAGAAAAACTGGTGCGTCAGGCTGAAGAGCTGATGGTGAGTATGTTATACAGACTGCTACATGATTTAGCCTTGATTCACATGCACACAGGGTCAAGCTTAAAAAGCAATTATTTAGACCATGGGTCCTAAAATTATTTTGCTTTCAAATACAACATAAGCTTTAATTTTTTTTTTTCCAAAGTTGTAAACTTCTACTAAAAACACATGCAAAACTAGTTTGAATATAATTTCATCAGGTAGGTATTCACACAGATGCATAGAGCATTTGTGCAGATATAGACATAAAACCACTTAAAAACTTTAAGAAAAGGATCTGTAGGTGGTCTTCTGTATTAAATGCTAAATAAAATTTAGTATTTGAAAACCAGATCATGTTGCAATAAATTCCTAGTGAAATAGGATACACACTGTTCAATCTGAAAGAAATACAAAGAATAAGCAACATAAATAGAAAAAATGAATTTAGTAAGAAGGAAACTTCCTTAAAACAGAAAAAGCTCCTGTTTATTGTCAGTATTAGCTTTTAACGTTGGTGTGGCTGTGTGCCAGGTAAGAGTCAAGATTTATACAAAAATGGGACAAAGGAATAGAAAGGGAATGGGGCAGGTATGGTTTATCCCCAAACCAGTCTGGAGAAGGTGTTCTGCATATTACATATATTCACTGTAAATGCACTCATTCAAATAAATAAGGCTTAAAAAGCAAATTATTAATTCTTCTGGAAATCTATACTTGTATGCACTTTTCCTACTGTTGAAACTTCATTTTTATGGCCTGTGAACATGCTCTTCTTTTGAGCAGTGACAAGCTGAGGGTAGCTGCTTGGCATTTGAACAGAAGCAGTTGAAACGGCCAAAATAGCATCTAGTCTCTGTCCTTTAGAAAACACCAACAACAAAACCACTTTTTTTTTCCCTTTTCTAAATACAGCAGAAGATGAAATATTCTTAGGACACTTAATATACCACATGGCAGTGCCAGATTGCAGAGATATACATTTAACAACAAAATAGCAACGACATTTTCATTTTTAGCCGTCTTTTCCTGTGTTTGGAAAGTTCTTTTCAACAGTACAGTTTCCATTCTTTTCCATAGTAGGCTGTAGTTATTGTGATTTACAAATGGGTAATTTGTCTTTAATGGATTATATTCCCCCCAAATTGACTACTTTTTTTCTTTTTTAATAAAGAAAGGCCAACAGAAGATACTATCTCGACCAGTTTCAGTACAGTCCAAGTCACCTGAAGATGACAGACAGAGGTATGTGCTTTACAACTGCTGCATATAATTGGTGGGGAACCCCACACTGCTCCTGCACACCCTGACTTGTGCCCTAGTCATGCTCCTGTTTTATCTGTCTTTATGGCATACCAGATTGGTAGAGTCTAATTTTTTTTCCTATTATTTGAAAAAAAAAAGATACTAAGCAAATGTTGTTCCTTGTTACTTCAAGGAAGCCTTAATTTTGCTGGACTGTTCTATCTAGTGTACTAAGTATTGCTGACCTCTGTAAAGAAGCAAGGTACAGTAACAGGTTTCTTTGTGGTACCAAGCAGCAGACACTCGGCAGTGGATGCTTTTTAACAGTTTGGCTGAGAAAGCAAAGAAACAGATACTGGTTCGCATTTAACTTGGCCCAAATGTGCCTGGGACAGGAAGTGCTTGATAAAAACAAACACAAAACCCTAAGACAGGCAAACATTGAGCTGCCACCCTCTGGAACGTGGGTACCATTGCACTGCTGGGGCCCACGTGCCTTTGGCCTGGATGAACACACACGGAGCTGTGGGGTTTGGCTGGGTGTTCAGACCCCTTGGATCAGGAGTGGGAACGTGGCTTGTGTTCACTTAATTGTTCTGGGGCATTATTACTTACTTAGTTCTTGAAGGGGTTGTATATCAATAGTGTGGGAAGTGGGTGAATTTAGGATAGACTGATACACAGTTTATCGAGGATCTGATCAGTAGGTTCCTAAATTTATGATGCCACTAATCTGAAAAAGAAAGATACAGGGACAGACTACAAGATGCCTCAACTGTTAAGCTGCAATTGGGAAACTTTTGAAATAGTGTATATGAAAGTCTGATAGAGATGATGCAATAGATACTTTTGTGCAAGATAAGAGCAGTGACATTATTAAGGAGTTTTTATGAAAGCAAAAGCGGTTTTCAGTACACAAAAAGGTGTGACAGCAAGTCATAGCTTCTGTGATAGAAGCCTGTCTACCAGAAAAAGTTAGCTGCAGTTAAAATTATTCCTGAGCTATTTTAAAGCTATATCTGACAGCTGGGGGATCAGGGGGCAAGAAACTTAATGTGTCATCAGTATAATCATGCTTTGCAAACAAATTCTGGATCTCACTTTAGTTTTATGTTCTGTTAGATGGATATTGAACATTAGACAGAAGATTTTTAAAAACTTCAAACTGGAGTTGAGTTTTAGGGCTGTTTTATGAAGTAATGTGATCAGAGGATCCAGCTCCACAAAGGGAGTTTAAATAGCTTTGATGATGCACATTAGAAATAAATGGGGGAGTGCTGGAAGAATTAAAAAAAATACTGACAATCAGCCTGTTAGAGTAGCAGCTGATCTAACAATTACCTACATAAATTAAAACACCTTAAAGCAACCACAGCCTGTGTTCTGGTAAACACTTATGTGAGGGAAGGTCTGAAATCCCATGCTGTAGTGAAAAAAATTAGAAATGTGTGCTAGGAATTAGGCACACTGATTATCCATGAGTGAACATTGAGGCCATTCAATTAGATTAGTTCCGAGTACTTAATATTTAATTAAAAATTCTTTTATTTCTAAATTGTGCAAGCACATAGGTCGTAAATCTTAAGGAAGCACTTGAGATACATTTTTTAAATACCTCTTTGAAATTTCTATTGATTCCTTATAAGGAGAATGAACACTAAAGCAACTGGAAAGAAAGGGAGGAATTGGAGCAAAGAAAGAGGTAGTGTGGGGGGGGAAAAGACAGGTTAAAAGGACAAACAAATATGTAGGAAAAAACCCAACAAATATTTAAGTCACTCTCCGAGTCAGTGTGTATTTTAAAATAAGTCGTTCCGGAGTTCTTGCAGCATATTTTTCTCAGGGAAACTTGAATTACTTAGCAACAAAGCAGCTCCAGTGACACCGCATTGAAATCAGCTTTTGTTTACACTTTCCCTCTCCAGACATTGCCAGGCTGAAGGCGCTGGGAAGGGCCCGCGCATGGGCAGGCACGGCCCGGGCTGGGCTGGGATTAGCAGCACAAAGGGTTTGCTCATGCACACAGCGCCTGTTTACACGCAGCCATGGAATTGTTCAACGCGAGCTTCTGTGTCAGGGCTGCCACGATGCTCTGCCCACTCATTTGTGCACCTTTCCAGGATTTACACACTAATTTCACTTATCATGCCACTACAGAACTGTATTACAGCTTTTGAAAACGGATTGTCGGGTGTGGGGAAGAGGAAAGAAACCCTGGGAGAATTTGAGAGATACCATGAGGTCGAGTTTTTTGTTTTGCTTTGTTTGTTTCTAGGGTTTTGTGATTTTGGTTTTTTCTTTTTTTTTTTTTTAAAGAAGGCCATAAGACAACAGATACAGTAGGAACAAGTTAGCCTATTGATGGAAAGAACATCATTGTTTTCCTGAGTATAGAGAGTGTTGTATTTTCCTATTTTTGAGAATAACACATAACTGCTATTTCTGTGGCAGCAAATCCTCACCTTCTGCATGCTCCTAGAGCGAGCCAATAGGAAGGAAGCATGAGGAAAATAGGGTAAATAGACAAAAACTAATCATCCTATTCTTGAAGTCTGTTGCCAACCACACACAGATGATTTCTCCAGGTTTTTTTTCTTTTTTTTTCTTGATTAATAAAATACAGAGCTTTGCGCAGATAATTCTTGTTGATGAATGTCTGTGAAATTTTTAAAGGCAAGATCTAAACATTTGCTCAGATCAGCCTGGCAAAAAAATTAGGTGACTTGATGAGCCAGAAATTTAAATTTTATTCTAAATCTTTTATAAGCCAGCATTTTAATTGAAGTAAAAAAATTATAAAGGGTAGTAAAAAAGTAGCCTTTCAGTGCAATAATACACATTTATGTAGCTCATTTTGCAAGCAAAAAAGTTATATACATATATATGACAAGAAACTTGACCTGCATATTACACAACACGCTAAAACTTCTTGCTTGTTTTCAACAGACTTGAAGAATAATCATTTAACCTGAAATTCAGTAACTAAGAAGCACAGTTTTCAGCCAAATAAGCAGATAAGAAAGCTGCTTTTTTAATTCCTGTTTTTTTTCCTCCCATCTGTAAAACAGATGCAATATTTGTAATACTTATTTCAGAGAAAATTCTGTGAGGCTTAATTTATATATTGCTCCATCTCATTTCTCATTTGGTAGTCCCTGTCAATGGACTTGACAACAGGCAGTCTGAGCCTGCTGGGATAGGTGAGCTATCTCCTCTTGGGACATAGAGGACACTGGTTTGTATCTTCATTTTCTGTGTGTGAACTCTGGGATTTATCTGTCTGGTGTGTGTTACCCAGGGAGCTGGTGGTGAGCTTTGGGAACAGATTGTCAGTCACCCTTGTTGAGGCTGGTAACTCTGCACCCTGGCTGAGGACTCCCTGGTGCAGGGAATCATGGATCTAAAAAGCCAGTAGCCTGCATTCCAAGAGATAAGATCAAGTGTCTGGTAGATCAGTAAACTGTTGCATTCGATATCATAGACTCTCCAGGTGATTTACGTGGTAAATGAGGTAGAATGGAAAGACAGCACAAGACTGAATTTATGCTTGACCTTAGGATATGTTCCCACCTTAGCTATATTGTTTATTCTGGACATGTAAAATGTTATTCTCTCTAATCTGACAGAGAGAGTTAAATTTTAATTGTGAAGTATTTATTTTATTATATATGTTCAGTGAATTTTTATTTTTTTAAATTTTTTTCTGCAGAGATCCACTCTTCCACTCCAGTCCTGAAGTTTCCTCTCCTACGCACTCACATGCCAAGGTATCAAAGCCAAAACTATCCTGGTTAAATTTTATTCTAGTATAATTTCCACAACCAACTTTTGGTTTTGTGGCTGTGCTTCACTGGGGAATTCCATGGGTGGGAAACCAAAAGGAAGTGGTGCCCAAAGCAGTGCTACAGGGACAGCGTTACCAGGGTTTCTCAGTGCCACTGGTGGTTAAGTGGAATTACATCATGTTTGATTTTTGTATTCTAAGTTTCCTCTTCTATAAAGTCTTGATAGAAGTGTTCAGTGTTTAGAACATCAAATTAAGAATTCCAAGTGCAGAATATTAGAACATAATTATTTTCCTACTTTCTTCTCTTCCCTCCCTCAGCTGTGTAATAGTAAAGGCAGTACTAGTGTCTTCTACATGTAGTAGAAAACAATGGAAAAATGAGATTGAGATTAGGAACAAACTCAATAGTCTCTAATTACAGCTATATTGAATCTTTTAGAAGGTGAGCTAAAGCTTCCAAAATACCATCTGCAGTTATTTATCAGAATGCAGTAGAAACCCCTCTAATTTTTGAAGGGTATTTGAGTGAAAGTAACAGAAATATTGTTAGAACTTCCTTCTACAGGGAATTTATAAGATGAAAATAATGCATAAAATAGCATATTTTTTAAGGTATGATAAGCATTTTTCAAATAAATGAACTCAGATGACAGTGCAATAATTAATACCTTGATAACAGCTCAGAGCCTTGCTTGTGCATAGATTTATTCTGAGTATGTGTGCAAAAACTCCCACAAGCCAATGACTACTGGATATATTACAATTAAGGCATACAGACATAAAAGTTGCAAGATAAAGATGAATGCAAATAAAACTGAAAAATTGTTCTTTTGAAAGTCTGAAAAGCACCCTTTGAAAAATATCCTTGATTCTGGATATATGAAAAAGAAAGAAAAAGAAACCACAAAAAAAATCCACACTAGAAAAAATAATTCCTATCAAATTAAAAAAATAAGTCACTCCTTTCTGAAAAATTTGTAGGTAGCAAGCAAGAAGAAATGTGCTGCTGCACCCACAGATCAGAACAGACCATACTCTGGAAGTAAGGGAAAAAGAACAACTTCAAGGTATATCAGACATCTCTTTTGGTTTTTCTAAAATCCTTTAGTTGCTATTTTTGTCTTTCAGGTTATTTTATTCATGTATGCTTCTATATTTATATAAATAAATGTATCAAACTTTTGGTCCTCCTCAGTCAGCTCCACCACGTGGCTGTCTCTGTTTACTTGCACCAGAAATTATCAGTAAACATATGTGATTAATATTGCAACAGTGAAACTGCTGCTTTCTACCTCATCACCTCTCAAGGCTGACAGCTCAGCTCTGTAAAGCCCTTTGGTGAAAGGAGGCCCAGTGAGCTGACAAGGGAGAAATACAGAAATGCAGCACCTGAGGCAACCTGAGAGAGCACACTTAGGTCTGCAGGCTGCTGTGGGAAACATGAGGCCCTCAGGGGCCTCCTCTGCTCTGGTTAATCTTGGGATCTCAGTAACATACCACAGCTTTCAGGGGCTTTAGGCTGAGGAGCTTCAGCTCTGCAGATTGCAAATTCAGGGTTGTAAAACCAAGAAATGGAGATCTGGTTGAGGGAGAAGAGTCAAGAAACGCATGAGATCTTTGGGAGCAAATGTAAACTGCCACAAGATATGGCATAACACCAAAACAGGGTGAAAATTGTCTGCAAGGTGGCAGAATATGGACCAAGGCTGTCCTTCAGGACTTGGAAGTCAGTATAGACCCTCAGGACCTCCCTTGGGCAGGTCAAGGCAGGGCTGTCATGCTGGTACTTGATGAGATTTGGAGTAGAACTGTGCAGATACAGACCCTGTGTGGTGAACCCAGAGTTGTGGGAGAAAGTTAGGAGCTAGAAGGAGTTTGGAGGCTTCACTGAGATGAGGATATATTAGAATAATGACTTAAGAGCTTCAGATCCTGGGAGAACTAATGTCACCATTGCATAAAAGAAAGCTGAGGAGATACCCTGTGTAGGTGATGTGTTACCTTGTGTTTTGGTTTTCTGAAAACTTTGATATGTAACTACTAGGATCAGCGATGTTCCCTAGGCCAGGCATCATGATGCAGAAATTGTAGCAAAGTAGGAGTAGAGCCACAGAGGACAGAATTCTACAAATTCTCTTGGGAGGGGAGAATAGCAGAAATGAAAACGGTAGTATCTAAAGCCAATAGAACATTCCTCTGTTTCTTTCTTTTACTCTGATCTAGTTATGAATTTGTTGCACGAGAAGACCATGCCACAATCTTCTCAGTAGAAAATGGTAGTGGTTTCTTTGCCTTCTACATTACAGTGTGTAAAATCCTGTAATTTGTTTATGTGGAAAATGGTAAAGGTGAGATTCACAAGAAGAAAGTGAGAAATTGCCATCAATGCGTCTTTCATATGAATGCAAGTAATGAAATCGCATTAGGTAAATAACTGTACACTCTTAAAAATAGCAAATACATTATAGTTTTGTTAAATTTTTTGTATTATAAATTTAAAATCTAGGGTTATCTTTTTTTAGTTCAAAAATAAGAAACACGGAAGTGCAAAGTGCTGATGGTGTTGCAGTACTGGAAGATTGCATGGGTTTTTCTTTAACAAAAACAATAAGCAAAGTTGAAGAAAAACTAAAGAAAGGAGTCTTACCAGATTGTCCAGATGATGATGTTATTCCAAGTGTTGGAAATGAAATGGGAGCAGGTAAGTTTCCTTCCATGGTTAGTACTTTTATTCTTACTTTGTGACTGTTGGAAATGGGTTTTCCTGGGGGAAAAAAATATAAGGAGTTTCTGTAAAAATTACAGGCAAAATTCTAAAGCCCTTAAGTTAAAGGAAACGGGAAAGAAGGTTTTTCCTCTTTTCATAGTCCTAGAGGAAGATCAGATCACATATCAATGTGGAACTGTGGAAAAGTGAATTTGTATCTTCATTTCCACCTTTGTAGGGAGATGTTTGGATGGTTACATGTGTTGAATGCATGCATAACATTGGATTCACTTCACTGGGGAAACAGAAGTACATGATGCTAAGCTTGTATTTCCAATAAGATGAGCTTCAGGCCTTGCACAAACTCTGCCTTTAGAGGAAAAAGCCTTTCCTCAGACCAGTGCTGTGGATCTTAGGAAGTGGCTTAAACAAGGTAACGTTTCAGCTACAGTGCCAGAATGAGAAGCCTCCAGATCCTTTCCCACTCGAAATGATGTGTTTTTGTCTGTCCTAGACACAGAACAGGAAAGGGGATTGATACATTTGCCACAGAGGCTAAAGGAACAATGTGCATCTATCTTTTTGGCTCTGGTGTGATAAAAGTGAGCTTGTGTGGTTCCTTACAATGCTAAAGCAAGCATAAAGTCAGAGATCCACCACACTTGCACAAAGTGCCTGAGCCCTCTCCTTTTAATCTAACAACTTGATATCTACAACATTCCAACACAGGAATAGTTAGATTTTTAACCTCATGTAATTCTGTGCACATCTGCAGTTACCAAGTCTCCCTATACACACCCTCAGCTGTCTTTTTTATAGTTCTTTCTCCTTGAACTAAAAAGAAATTGCTTTGGCTTGCACTGGAAGCTTACACCAAATCAATTCAAGGTAACTCAATAAGAGTTATTACTGGTGCCAAGTAATCAGGTCTCACTGACCAAGGCCATATGTTTGAGTACTGAGAGTTGTTTCTGTAACTTTAATGATGAAATGAAAATACTCTGGATTGATTTTTGCTTTTTACATGTGACATTGGCTGTTTATAACACTCTGAATGCCTCCTTAATATACTAAAGAAGCTACTGCAGAGCATTCCAGCATTGTGAGACTCACAGAACAGTTATGGTGTTCACAAGAAACAGATATAGGTATTAAGCAGTTCCTGTTACAGAGAGGGCTGATCCCTCAGTGGGAATCTCCTGTAAGAGATTCCTTGGGCCAACATGCCTTTGCTTGGCTGCTTAGGCCAGTGGGCTGAGAAGGTTCCAGAACATCGTCCTTTCCCTGAGCTTCTCACAGTGCTCTCCCAGGGCTTGGGTTCCACGTCTTTATTTCATGATTACAGGTTACCGCAGTGCAGCCATTCTGCTGCCCACACAGTAGCTTACACCTTATTTTTCTCAGGTTATAACTCAACTCTGTGGTAACAAGCAATGACAGAAGCACACAGACATACAGAAGGCTGAAGCTCTATTTTTATGTAATATACCCCCCATAAGAACAAAATACCTGAATGTATTGTTGCACTTCATGTCAATCTTCAGATTATCCCAGGAATTCAAGAGGTCCATTCTTTCTTGTAGGGTATCAGAGTCTCTCAAACACCCTTTTCTTGTTTACCAATTCCCCCGAGGGTGTCGGTTACTTTATATCCTAAGACCATCCTATAAAGGGATACTCCTCCCTCTTACCAGCTTCATCAGGTGACTAAAATTGACCAGTTAGGAAGCTAATTGTTTAATTATCTTTACCTCTTGTGAGAATTCAAGCCTATTTGGATCACAGGCACTTCCCAAAACTGATCTGGTTCTAGTTGTGCACTTGGATTTTCACAGGTTTTACTACTAAGTGCTCTTAATGACACACAGCTGACTAAGACAGAAGTTGTCTGTGGACTAATAGCTGAGTAAAAGAAGAAACAAAATGGTAAAAAGCAGCAGTTTTGACAGGTAGTGGTATAGCCCTAGAGTGATCTGTCATGGAGCTTACATTGTTCACAACAGCTAAATGACAGCTGGTAAAGAAATTTATGTATGAAACAGTGATTTTAGAACAGTTAAAACTGGTGTTGAAGTATTGCACAATAATCTCACGGTACTGAATGAGGTGATAGAGTGCAAGTTGATATTCTGTACTAAAGAGTGCAAAGGAACACTGTTAGAAAATACAACTCTCCAATTACACCTACTTCACAATAAATACACCTGCGACATAACTCCAATTACACCTGCTATGGCTAATTATGACATTTCCAAAAAGCATAAACTTACTGCCTGTTCACAGTGGAAAAGGCAAATTAATTGTTACAAATCCTTCAGAAGATAACAAAACCAAAATACTGTACTGTTACCATGCTGCTGTGATATAATGGATGCTGCCCCATGTTGAGTATGGAACACAGTTCTGCACACCCCATCTCAAATCCAGGATGTAGAACCAGCAAAGATACAGCTAAGAGTGTACAGAGGCAATTAGAAGTGTGGAACAGCTTGAACTTGAATCTTCAGTTTGAAAACAAAACAATTAAAGGCACTATGAAAGATCTGTAATGAAAACAGTAATGTAAAGGGAAAGCTGCCTTTCTGTGATGCAAACACTAGTAAATGCCACATTAAATTGGATTTAAAGCGAGCTGTACAAAGTGTTTCTCTTTCCCATAATGCACAATTAAATTAGCCACAGGATATTGTGAATGCCAAACTACAGTAAACTACAGTCTTATGAAGAAAATCAAACAACTTAATAGTGTAGAAGTACCTGAGAGGGGATTAAATGCAAGGGCTTCGATATGGTCTCCATCTCGATAGCCACCAGTTACCAGAAGCTGGCAAGGATATCAGTCTGTATCTTATTTTTTCATGGAGTTTTCCCTAAATCCTACTTATTATTGGCCTCTGCAGAGTTACAGCTTAAGTTGCATTTGACAGTTCTTAAGGGAAGGTGGGTGAAATGAAAAGAACTCCTGTTGCAGCAAATGAACACATGTACCCATCCACTCTGCTCCAGATACTCCTCCTCTGCTTTATTCTTTTCCCCTTATGACTACTGTGAATAATGGTTATTCCTGTGTTACTCAACTTGATCCTCAAACTGTTCCCATACTTCACGCCTGTGGAAGTTCAGGGAGAGTTCCTTGTGAATGATCTGGGGAATAGGAAGTGAAAGAACAAACTGTTCACACACATTTCTAGCTGTCCAAGAGCAAGAAAGTACTTCATTTGGAAAAAACCACCTGATTAAATAGATTTAATTTTAAATACTGTGCTTTAAGAAAGCATAGACTACTGTGTGGGAGGGTATTCACCTATTAGAGGGCTTTGCAGTTGACATTGAATTCTTCTTGTGCTCAGTTTAAAATTACTTTGGCTGTAACTACACAAGTTGCAGCTACAGATGGATTGCAGTGCAGACATGCCCTTAACTTCAGACTCAAGAAATGCTGTAATGTACAGCATAATATGATGCAAGTTTTCAATAAGTTTCAATTTTGAGAATTATGCATCTTTTACCGTTTAAAGATGTCAAGTTGTCATCAAAAGAAAAAAAATCTATACAAAGCTTTGCCTGAGAATGAGAAACCTGCAAAATCTTTTTAGAAATCTGAGGTTTTATTTGCCTGTTTCTCTTTAATAATTGTAAACACTGTCGAGTGTTTCTAAAAATAAGAACATGAAAGGGAGTTCTAACATCAGTCTTGCTTCTTTTCTGCATTGAATAATGAGTAATTGTGGATATTAAATGTAACTTTTTATATACACAGAAGCTCAAATCAGATTTCTGAAGGCAAAGTTACGTGTTACACAGGAAGACCTGGCAAGTGCAGTGTTTGAATGCAAGAAAAAGGTAAGAGCTGGATTTTCTTATCTATAGAAATGGAGTAGGTTCCCCTTCAACAAATAATCACAAAACAGAATTCTCTCAACCTTTCCTTTTTAAGTATTAAGAGCTAAGGTTCTATTTTTTAAAATGCACTAAGAGCTTAGTATCAGGGGTAGTAATTTCTGTATGAATGTGATCTTGGGCTAAAAGCTTGTGAAATACACTTAATAAAAAAGAATTTGAGGCAGGAAAGAACCACTGGGAGTGAAGACGTCCCAGCTGCAGGAACGCTGGTGCTGCAGAGTGCCCAAACCACCACTGCTGGAAGGGCACTGTTACCAGAGCCTGAGAAAAAGGAGGAGGAAACAGGAGCAGTGAAATACAGATTTTGGTGTACAGAGAAGAGGAGTGGTGCCCAGAGGCAGGTGGTGGGATGAGAGGGATGTTTAGGGCAGAGTGAGAAACAGAAAAGCTTGAGGAACATAGTTGGGTGCTTTTGGTGTCATCAGTGGATAGAAGTGTGGAAACAGCTGATCTGTGGATCCACTTCAAGTGGAATGTTGTAATCAAAACAGCAGTGAGGCTTTCTCAGTTCTCAAGAGTACAGTTGATGCAGAGGACAATATTTGGAATTCCGTATTTGGGCAGATCAGGCTGAACTTAAGGCATAGTGAAGCTACACTGATATTCCACTGTTAGAGTTTTATGATCTGCACTGTCTGGCAATCTATTTTCAAGTGATGTTCGAACACCTCTTGAACTGTAAAACCTTAAATAGCTTGTATTTGTCTGCCAGAGGGATCCCCTCTGATTCATGCACTTGTAATCAAGCAAGGGTTTTGAACTAACTTTCAGTTTTCAATAACTGGATTATTTAGTTGTGGTCTCTTGACTTCAGAATGCTTTTTTCCACCTATTCCTCAGGCCCAGATGTGATGATGACATTCAGAACATATGGCAAAACACCTATATGTTTTCTCTCAAGCTTTTAATTTAGAGTTAAGGAGCAGGATGATACTAAATGAGTCTTTTGAGATAAGTACATGAAGAAAATCTTCAGAAGTAATTAGATTTTGATATTTAAATCTGTACTTTATTTCATTTTTACCAACACAGGTGCTTCTGCATTTCAATATTTTCTGCTGTGATCAGAAGGAAGTTGTTACATTTGATTTTAAAGACATTTTTATTTTCAAATCCAATACAATTCTGTCAGTAGCTATTGAACTTCATCATTCCATGCCAAAACCACTACAGACTTCAGTTACTGTCGCAGATGACAGAAGACAACCTTGTACTTGTTCTTGTGCTGCTCCCATAGCACTCTGTGTGTAAATGTATCATTCTGGGTACTAGTTTCTCTGCTGTGAAAATAACTTGATTACATTCATAAGGTCACAAAAATTTCATTTAGGCAAAGCCTTGAGGTGGATTCTGGGTTTGGTTCCAATTCACAGCCCAATTGTTAAAAGGAAGGAGTAAACCTGTTTTAAATGTAAAGAAATGGGAGTTTCTGAGGTGCAGGTGGTCACAGGAAGCTTGGATGAAGCACAGGGATTTCCCAGGTGAGAAGCTTGTGTTCCAAGGGGCTGAGAGAACAACAGGGAGAGACTTGTTTTCACAGCCTCCATTTCTGTGAGTGTGCCCTAATTTCTTTTTCGTAAAGAAATGAAGGGCATAATGTGTCTCTGAAATAACCTACATTAGTATTCACTTATAAAGTTTCAAAGGTTATAAAAGAAAAATGCCTTGAATTATAATGCTTAATGTGGGATGTAATTGCCAGTAGGTCATGAATCGAATACGGGATTCACTGGATGTTAAGAGAATCTTAAATTTGAATACTTGATGTATCCTGGATCATTAGCTTGCTTTTAAGTCAAAACCAGATAATCTCCTAAAACATAATGGATTGGTTTATCAGTAATTATATTCTCTTTCTTTTCCCCATAATTTTTCCTAATGTGTGCATTTAACTATTCTCACAAAAATGTCACAAAATATCTATGTCCCACTGTTATTCATATTATTCCATAACACTTTGATATTTCTCAAAACCTTTGAGCTATGAGAAATTAAATGTTTTACATACTGTTACAAGACAGTTTCAAGTAAAAGACTGTAGAAAATTAAATGAAAGAAGTGTTACTGTTTTTTGAAGTATTATGCTGGTAAAATGGTGGTTTGTTTTCTTAATTGTTGCCATGTAATTTTTAAAAACTTATCTCTATATCTATAGTGTGTGTATTTTTACTGCCTTTTATTTACAAGACATTATTACTGCATTATTCTCCTGCTTCCTTGCAATGATTTAGTTGTGGGGTTTTTCTGCTATTGACTGCCAAACAGGATGATCAAAATCAGAATTTAGAAACTCGGCTTAAAGATACTGAAGAAGAAAACACGAGACTGCAGCGAACAATCAGCGTGCAGCAGAGTCAGACTGAGAAGTACAAAATGTTGTCACAGGAAGCAAACAAAAAAAGTGAAGGGTTACAACAAGAAGTCATTGCACTAGAAAAGGTATTGCAGATATTATTCTCATCTATCTCACAAAAGGGAACAAACCCCACATCAACTCACCCTTTGTACCCTAGTTTGATATGAATGATCCCAGTAGTGTTTGAATCTCTGATAGTAGTTTTAGAAATCGTATTTTTAAATGGTCTAATCATTTTTTTTAAAGGAAGAAATAATATATTTTGCTAACTGCTTTTCTTCTGCTTCTACAATCACATATTCCTGTATTTTAAAATTAAATTCCTGCGTAAAAGACCCGCAAGAGACAAAACAACCTTTTCAGAAACTGCTGTCAAAGTCACAAAGGAATCTTAAAAAATACAAGGAAGTTTTATTTTTCTGGTTTTAATTATGACTGTTAAAAAACTACTTCTGTAATAAGAGTTCTATTGTAAACTGTAGAACCTAGTGAACATTTTTTTTAGAAAGCACCTGCAGCTTATATTAGTATGTCCTGCAGGTAGAGGAAGGGATGTGTCTTTGTTCTTGAAAATGGACTGTTGGAAAACCATCCACTGTGGTGTGGCTGAATCCCAGTTCCCGAGGCTGCTGCTGCACCCACCCTGGCACAGTGGTGTCCCTGCCTGGGGCAGCAGATGGCTGCACACACAGCTTTGTTTGTTTGGAACTTAATCTTAAGGGCAGCATGTGTTTCTCTTTAATTACTCAGAGCTACAGAGGTTGACTTCAAAATCATGCAACACACAGAGTATTGTGTAGCACGTGCAATGAGAATGTTTCACTTAAACATTTGGGCAAAATGGAACACAACTTAGCCTAACAAAGTCTCATTATACCTCTGTTAAATCACACTATGCATTTGTGTAGGCATGCTTGTGTCTTAATGCTTTGTAGTTCTGGCATTTTACAACTAAAATGGTCTTCGTGGGCTTTTTGTGCAGATACTTGGAAGCTTTAAGTTCCTTAAATAAGTACCCTGATGGTGATTCTGTCAGGGAAAATATTCAGCAGTAGTACTCATACTACTCATCAGCTCACAGCAAATAGGGCCAAGAGATTTACAAAGTCATTTAGTCCCTTCTCTTAAAGCAAGACAGGACAGGTTATATCCAAACCATCCTGGACTTAAGTTTGTTTGACCTGCACTTAAGCCTTCTTAAAACAAAAGTTTTAAATTGATGGCAATTTCCAGCATTTCCTTAGACAGCCAATGCTGGTTCTTGCACACAGTCACAGTTAGAATGTATTTAGGAAATGTCTGTTGGGATGAAAAGTTTATTCACTTCTGCTGTATCCAGAATGTGGTCACTTCCCTCACTTGTCTTTGTTCTGGATTTACCATTCTCAGTTGCTCCTAGTTGTTTTCTAGAATTCGTCAAGGTTCCCAACCAGATCATGAAAAATAGTGGTAGTCCTTTAAAATACTAAAGCAGCAAAAAAGGCAAGTATATGTAATGAATGGTTCCCTGCTAATCCAGAAGTTACTTTACATATTTTTTCTGCTATAAGAAATTATCTAACTGCAAAAGCCATGCATGTAAAAATAATTTTGCAGTAACTGCTTAATTCTCCTGTGGACTTAGGAGTCTGAAAACTGTTCTAATTTTTAGGTATGAAGTATTACTCAACACTATATAATTAATGTAGTGTAGATTAATTCTAGACACGTTTAAAAGCAATTTCCTGTGAACACAGGCCTGAACTGGTGCTACTGTGCTGCTAAACTCTCAAGACTCATACTTTCAGTCCATAGAAAGTTTTCTGTGCAGTTGAGATAGCACAAATGTAACCTCTGATTATGGGGCTTTTATTGCTTTTGTTGTGATTTCTGTTCCAACACAGATGATAGGAGACTTTGGCTGTAATACAAGTTTCCCCAAACTTCCTTATCAACAGTTTGTGCAATTTCCTTAATCCCTCAGGTCCTTTTTTTGTATGTGCCTAGGCAAAGAGTCTCACCTGCTTTTCACAATTCACCTGAAACATGGTAACTACATTGTTATTTTTACATTTAATTCTTTTGGTCTTTGGTCTCTGTGAACATTCTGCTGCAACACCCACCTCAGGCAGCAGCTGAATTCTGATGCTCCCAGAAACTTCCCTCCTTTCCAGCATTCCTCTTTTTTTTTCCTATCTAATTGATCTAATAAATGCTATCACCTTTCCTGTCTTTTTTTCACCACCAGTCTACAGGAACATTCCTTCCTCTGTGTTCTCTCACTCATTAATTCAGTCTAAGCTATAATGTTAGATAATGGTCGGGGAGACACCAAAGTTGTACTCTTACTTCTAAGGCTTTGTGCGGGGGGTTTATAATTTGCCTTTAAGAAGGGCTTGATGTTAAGTAAAAGTTCCCTCTCCAGTGTTTTTTGGGGAGGACAGGTGCTGCAGAGCCTTCCTAAAGACAGAGGTGCTGTGGATGCTGCTGCTGGGAGGACAGAAGGCCACTGGGAGGGTTCCTCCTGGGTGAGCTCTGTGCCATCACAGCCCCTGCTGGCACTCAAGTGCCTCAGCCATGTCAGAGCAGTGGAGAAAATCCAGAAATTGAAATGGGATGCATTTTTCAAACATAGTAGTTTATCCCCACCTCTTAGAGAAACAGCATACGAGAAAATTAATCCTGCTTTTACTTTAAGTATTGAAGAATTGGCAGAAACCTTGCTTAGTTACAAAATAAAACACTTATTTCAGGTATTTTTAGGATTAAAAACTCAGGAGTCAAATACATTTAACAATATACCCTCACTGGATGACTTGCAAAAAAATCCTTGATAAGGTATTATGTGTGACAGTAAATGTCAAAAAGCCCTAAGAGAATTCTTAGAATTCTTTCATTAAATGATATGATTAGCTGATAAGTAATTTGCATTGCATGCAGACTATTTTTTTGGTCATTATATGCTTGAAAGACTGTATTTCAAAGCTTTTCATATTAATGCAGAATAAAATACATAGCATGAAAGATTTAGTTGACTTTAGTCACAGCTCCATCATCTTGATACAAGACAAAGAGGTCAATTAGTACGTATTTCTTGGATAAATGATGCGGAAATCTTAAGTAACCACCATAGAGCAAGTGTGGAATTGAGAAAATAGAACAATTACTGAAGCAGTCTGAGGTTAAAAGGTTAACAACAAGGCCCCCTCTCTACCTTGATTTGGTTAAAAAAAGTCCTTCTGTGCCCATTACTAAATATTTGATACTTCAAAAAAAAAAGGTCTATTTCTTTTTCATAAAAGACAAGATGTGCTCTTTTTGCCAGAATTGCTCATTTCTCTTACTTTGGCTGTTCTCTGTATTCCCTGATCTTTAGTCTGATTATTCTGTTCCTCAGCCTGGTCTCTTTTTCTCATTTCCCCACTTCCAGCACTATGAAACACTGTCAGCAGAGTCAAGAGGAAACTGTTTTGCTCGGTGCCATAAACACTCGATGAACTCTTTTCTGCCAGATGACACAGTTACTACCCTCAGCCATCTTCAGTGGGCTGCCTTAACTTCTTGGTGGTAATTGTCTGTAGGAAACTCTGGGGAAAAGAGGTAAAAGGAACAGGTGGGAAGAAGCATCTGGGAACACGAGCCACCGTTCCAAAAGCTGCCTCAGAGTGGACATGGCGACAGTTTTTTCTCTTTCTGAGCATAGACGGTGTTTCAGTCAGTCCTGTGGTCTTACATGCTCAGCTCCACGATCAATCCAAGATAAGAAAGATCCTTTTTCAAGATTTCAAAGGAGAAGGGGATGTTTTAACGGTAGATTTGTCTTTGAGGCAGATTCTATCTGCAGGCCAAAGAACTCCACAGACGCTTCAGCTTTCAAGGGTGAGCCTTGTTGTACATGTGCTGTTGATACGGGATTCATTAAAACACCCATTATTCACCATGTTTGTTTTTCTCTTTGCTTCTCAATTAGGAACTGGAGAACCTCAGGCGGGTACAAAAGCAGGCCACAGCCAGTCAGAGTGCGACTGAGGTTCGACTGAACAGGGCCCTGGAGGAAGTGGAAAGGTATAAAGTGGAGCTGAACAAACTGAAGCAGAGCAACAAGGTACAGTGGCTTAGGAAAACAATTTCCAATCTGTGATCACTCAGTAAAGCTAGAGCGAGACAAAAAGCTTGATCAGCTTTGGAAGCACCATATCTCTTTCAGGCAGTCCCAAATTAACTTAGAGCAAGTCACCAAAGGCCTGGATAAATTATCTTGGATGATGCTACTGCAAGAAATGTACAGAATAAAGTTAAAGCCTTTCTGATTTTCCTCATTTGTGTGAAAGTAAGATGTGTTTAGAAAGAGGGGGAAGTACACATACACACCTAATACATACACAGGCAAACCAGGGCTGTTATCTTTGAGATTACTTTTTTTTTCAAGCTTTAATGTGGGAATATTTTGATTAATCCCATTTCTTTTCAGAAATGTAATGGGTGGCTACTGTTCCTCACTTTCTTACGTAATGCCAGGTTTCATTGGCAAAAGCACCACTTTCATAAATAATACATTTCTCCTTTTCTTCCCTTGGCAGGATGTAGCTAACCAAGAACTCAAAACAATTGAAGAATTAAAAACAGAAAACAAGAAACTGCAGAAACAAAAAGGAGAGCTAATTACAGGTTTTAAAAAGCAGTTAAAGTTAATTGATATTTTGAAGAGACAAAAGGTAAGGACCAGAGTACAGGTGTATTTCAGTAAACTACCTCTAGCTAAATGTGTCTGTTGTCAAGTCAGGTAATCTTGGAATTGGAGCCCCAGGACTGGGAAGTTTCAATGCAAGAGGGCAGCAACCTCACTTTTCCCAGAGCCTATTGGTAACATTTTGTGTTCTAGCAAAGGCTGGTCTGCTTTTGAACTGACCCCATTCCTAACTAGGAATGCATCCTGTCATGGTTAAGGGTTATTACTGACTGAGGATATCTGTTTGTTGAAGAACAAACACTGTGCAGGTAGCAACAGCAACTCCCCTTGTGCTGTGTCAGTAGGACCCATTTCAGCAGGTGAGATTTTTTAGTTTTTCCCCACACACACATTATTTGTTGGATCAGCAGCTCTAACAGTGCCACACCTCAGGAGTGAGCACTGCGTTTTAGACCTGCATTCTTCCAGGGTTCTCAAAGTGTATCCCTCTCTATGAACATTTGTTTCTTCTTATTTAAATTCTGAGGTGTTCTGGACATGTACAGTTGTGTCCAGGTGCAGATGTCCTTGTGTGTCAGACAAAAAAAAAGAAAGAAAAGAAAAAATTAAAAGCAGAGCACTTATCTTAGGTGTGAATTTACTCAACTGAAAGAGGAGAGTTGAGCTCCATCCTTTGGTAATTCCTGGAATATCCTGCATACGTTGAATCACACACAATGCAGTAACATTGGCTGCAAGGGTGTTCTCATCCACACTGTAGCCTTACTCTGAAAGTCATTTGATTCCACATCCATTTCACATCTCCCTCAGGGCATGGAAGGGTGGGCAGAGTCTTTAGCAGCTGAAGCTGAGACTGAAGAGAGGAGAGGTGGTAGAATAAGTGCTGCCCGTTCATGCTGAACAATTGGTGATCCAGCTTCCATAGAAAGCTGCTATAGTGAGAAGTAGATTAATACTGCAGCTGGAATACAGCTCAAAGTGTATTCAACTATCATATTTGGTAAAGCTGTATTGGATGTTCCCAAAAGGAGGGGTGTTTTACTTGAAAAGAAAAACCTCTGACATTGCAGAGTGGGTAAATATATTTCTAAAAATATATTTTCAGCACAGACCAGTCAAATGATCTTTGATGGTGCAAACTAAAAGAAGTTGTGAGTTTACATGAAAGGAAATTAAAGTGAGAGGACTGTATACTAAGAGATGTTGCCCAAATCAAACAATTTTCCACTTGCTAGTTCCATCAAACCTTTCACTTACAAATCCTTGGGATGTGTGCAATCATTTGTCTCAGTTTCCCTTCCACGGCTGCATGAGACGTGTAGAGCTGTGGGCTGCAGAGCTGTAGGACAGGATCTAAACCCCACAGAGTGGGTCACCTCCAAACCCTACTCTGCTGAAACTCATGGCATTCATTTTGGGATGAACTCAGTGCACTTTTTGTGCTCTCAAACCAAAGCTGTAAGAGAGCTAAAGCAAGCGATGTGTGGTGGCTTTTTGAGCAGACCCCCCTTTAAGAAGGGCCAGCCTTAGAGATAAAAAAATAGAACATTTTATTTACCCTTTGAGCACTGCAGTGATCACCAGACAATTTGTAAACACTTCCAAAGCTTTTGAGCCCCTAGAGGAAGAATAGTTGGGTATGAAGTGGCAACTTGAGAGAACAAAATACACACACTTATCCCAAGGACTGAGAATTGCAATATGGAAATACACCCTTGAATCTGGAATACCTGCCCAACACAGGGCAAAGGAGGACAGGTAACTGGAGTAAGAGAAAGTGAGGCTGCTCATGCATTTCCAGTGCAAGAGAATTTTCCTGGCAGTAACAGGATGCTGAGGAGATACCTGGATTCCCCCAACAGCAGCAGGGCCCTTCTAGCTCTGCAAGTTTATTTTGAGAAGAAAAACTATACAGCACTCACTCAACATATGTTCTATATGTGAGGCAGCTCATTGTCCCCTGGAACGTGAATTCACTGAAATGGTGTCACAGAGCAGCATTTCTGTTTGACTGGGAACCAAACCCAGACTCTCAGACAAGCATCACAAAACTGCACCAAATATATTTTTAAACAACTGCAAATGCTGTGTCAGAACTGCAGACAGGTGACAGACACTTACCTTGTCTTCCAAACAAATGTCATTTACTCAGAGCAGAGGGATCCTGTTGGTTGTCCTTTCCAAACAGACTGTGACTGGAAGAACCTGAAAGAGACGGAGGCTGCCCCTGCCCCTGCAGCTTCTGGCAGGAGGCACCAGGGAAGGGCAGCTGAAGGTCCCGTGTGCTCAATATTCAGTGGAGGAGCTTCAAGTCTGCTTCACACAGGCCTTTTGTTGAATGAATGAGGAAAACCTGATTTTGGCTATTTGTGTCATATTTGTGTGGCAGGTTCAGATGCACAAAGCAGAGAGACCACAGTACCAAAAAAAAAAAAAATCAAATTATAAATTTGAAGCCCCTTTGAGCTATCCCAGTTATCCAAGATTTTGTATTGGTCACTCACTCTTTTTACCTTCTGCTCCTAATTGTTTTTTGTTTTTTCTTAAGATGCACATTGAAGCTGCCAAGATGCTTTCTTTTACTGAAGAGGAATTCATGAAAGCTCTTGAGTGGGGAAATTATTGATTCCATTAAAAAACAGCTTCTGTCTGAAAGACAACTCAGATGGTACATTATTTTGGGACTGTATATGAATCCTTGTTAATAGTCAATAACTGCATATCCTAGTGAATTGATTTTGTTGATTTTGCTTATGTTTAAATTGTTTAACTTTTGTAAGCCTGATAGCTTGGGTTGTAATGTTGTATGAAATAGAAATTTCTACTGCAGTGTCAGGCCAAACTGTCCATTCTGTAACTAGCAGAGAAGCACAGACCGTGCAAGGAACAGTCCAACAAGTGAACTTTGTTAATCAGTTTGGTCTGGTTTAGCATTTAAAACTATACCTTATCTATGGTAATATTCAGTCCAAAGAAGGCAGGATTTAGTCTCAGAAAATTCCTTGTTGCAACAGAAATAAATTAACCAGTGATCCAGTTCAAAAGAAAATGTCATGTCCTTTTTAAAACACGTGGTTGGAAAATTGGCCTTGTCTGTTCTCTGTAACAGATCTCCCCTCAAAGCTGGTTGGTCTGGCATCTAATTTAAGCACCAACAGCTCTTTTATAGAAATGATCATAACTTGTTTTAGTCATTACATCTTACCCCCTGGCTGGCATAACCACACATGAGACTTGCCCCTCACTGCCCAGACAGACTCCTTTAGTCAAGGTGAAAATATTAAACCTTTCCCTGGCCATCAGCTGCTGCTTGGGGATAAGTCAGGAGCTGTGACTGTTCACAGGTGCTCTACAAGCACCAGTCATCGTTGTGATCAAGAACTAGGTAAGAGATTAAGGGTAGGTGAGCTGAGCATACCATGTGTACACTGATGAACAGGAGCAACACAAGCCTGTGCTGCTTCCATGAACCTCTGTCAGACCTCAGGGATTCCAATGGATTCCTCCCTCAGGGTAAGTGAATAGGAACATGGCACAAAAACAGTCAGTTTATGCACTGAAAGGTACAAACAGTGGTTCTGACCTCAGAATGGAACAATGTCTCTGCCTTAGACCCTACCAGCAAAGTACCTCGGATCTACCACTTGGAGGAGGATTGGGATCATAGTAGTGTAATGCCAGTACAGCCAAATCTTCCCACTCCCCCCAGAACTAGTGCATGAAGAGAATCTTGTAGTCCATATTGGAATACATGTGTGCATTTACAGCAGCTTAGGTTTCCACTGTGCTGCTGGAGAAAACATTTCTAACGTTGCTACACCATTAACTGAGAAGAATTGAGAACTCCGAACAGTTTATTGATGAAAAATGCAAGTGCAGCACACGCCTATATAAAACTAACTGCTCATCAGCTGAGAACTTTGGTCTTGAAATGGAGACTTTTAATGGTAAAAAGGAGTTCCTCACTGTTAACAGCAAATGGAAGTTTTCATTGGGAATCAGCTGACACCTAGTGGCAAAGCAGGAGCTGAGCTGGGCAAGGGCTCAGCTCTCTTCTGATAATTCATTACCTCTTCTTTGCTGGAAAGCCAACCTAAAATCTTCTCCAAGCATGTTAATGTCATTTTCATCTTTGATTATCCCCTGCAGTAATGGGAAAGAAACACACATTAGAAGGTAAAACAAAGTAGAGAGATTTCTATGGATCTCTGCAATTTTCCATGGAAGAGAATGGATAGTTTGTTTCCATAATACCGTTGTTACCTTTAAAACAAGTCTGAAACTCAAGCCTGAAAGGCATCACAAAACTTGAACAAATTCCTGCACCAATTATCATATTAATGTTTGAATAAAAATTATACTCTGTTCTATTTACATTTTCCAGAATTGCAGAATTTCTTTAACTAGTGGGATAATTCCCTCCCTACTCTAAATGTAGTTTTACATCCCTATGGCAGCTCTGTTCATTTGTGTACTGTCAGGAGATCTTTCCAATTATGAACCATAATACAAAATAAATGGTAGTTTATTCCTATTGCAATAACTGCTTCCATCCTTTTAACTTTTAAAAACACAGGGATGAACAGAGTGAGCTCTGAAATGCTTCTGTAAGCACTGCAGTTCCTTGCACTGCTGCAGAGGGGAGGCCTTGCCTCCATACTAACTTGGAATACTTGGCAGACGAGCCAAAATTGCTCCCAAAACTGAGAAATGTGGTGGAAACAGGGTGTAAGATGTGGTGGATCCCTATCTAGCTAGAAAAGCCCTGCTGGAGAACTCATGTTTCACATTCCAAGCACTGGATGTGCAAAGCACTGTGGAAGCTTTCAGCAAGTCCTGCACAAGGCATCGATGCTGCCAGGGACCCAAAGAGCAATTCCGTAAAGAGCTTCCCAACTCCAAAAGTAAGAGGTGAGTGCAGGTGAGCTGACACAATAAGGACACCCACTGACTCCAGGAATTTACACAGTTCTGCAACTTCACTTTCAACTATCCAAGAGAAAAGTGATTTCCAGGACAGACACTGAAAGCATTTACAAGACACTTCACTCACTCGAGGCAGATAACCCAGCAGTTTCCAGGCGTGCTCTTTCAGGAGTTTCTGCCTCTCCTCTTCAACAATTGCACGGATGCTTTCTTGTCTTCTCTTCTCCAACTCTCTTTCTTCAACTTCACGCTCCTACAATAAACAAGTTTTCCTAAGTTCAGTTTGTGAACATTTGTTTAAACAACGTATGTGTGGCAACTGGAAAACAATCTCAGACAAAAGAGAGGGCTGACTGGCAGGACCTGGGGTGAGTCTGCTATCCAAGTGTTTGCCCTTTTGAAAGCAGATTAAGTGTCCAGTTCTGCCTTTCTGGCTCTCAGACAAGTTAGTTTGTTCCTGTCCTACTGCTCTAATCCCAGAAAAAGAGCAATAGGCATGAATTCTCATGCTGATGACTAGAAATCACAATTCACATTACATATGTGATTTATACCCCATAAACAAGGTCTGAAAACCACAGTATAGGATTCCATTACCTGTTTTCAGCTTACACTTTTTCTTCCTCAGATCAGAATTCAAGAGACTTAACCTAAAAGCAAGGCTGGGACTTCCCCTCCTCACACAGTGCAGCTGCCTAGGGACAGGGAATGGGACAGCAGTTGTTCCACTGCTCCCATGGCTCCTGAGGAGGTATTTGCAGAGCATGTCAAGTACACAGGAGTCCAGGCATGTTGTTGACCCAACCTCTCAAGCTACAAAAAAAGTTGGCTCTAAAAACTTTTTCTTGTCATCACACCAAAGCCAAGGCCTGCTTCCTGCCCCACATTTGTCTAAAATTCCCGTCACCTTTCCCTAGTGACAGCAGCCCTGTCCCTCAGGAGAGCACAAGTGTCCCCACACTGAAACCTTGTGGCTCAAGCCAAAGGCGTGTGTGAAACTCTTACTTTGTCTGCAATGAACTGTCTGCGACGGTCTTCCAGGATTTCTTCCACAGCCTTTTTGTGCTCCAGCTGCCTCATCCTGCGTTTCTGAGCGTTCAGCTCCTCGAGCCGATCCTCCTCTGCCAGCCTGGCCAACATCTGCTGGCGGAAGGCTTCCTCCTCCTCCCGCAGAGCTCGTTGTGCTGCTGCCTTCATGGCAAACTGCTCTTCATAGGTTTGCCTCAACTCCAGGCGCTGCCTTATTCTCTTCTCAATCTCTGCCTACAAAGGGAATTTAGTCAAATGCTGTGTTACTGAACAGTCTTTGAAAAATTACCATCATCAGCCAATCTACTGGATTTTTCTTGGAATAAATTTACTGTAGCTGTTAACTTCTAGCATAACTAACTGGAGCAAACATTCCATACCTGACAGGGTTCTCCAGTATTAATCAGTTTGGCAAATGTCACGAGATTCTCAAAATTCAGTCCAAACCAAAAGGAGTTATTTCTTTTTTGCCCTATTAGCATGAAGTGACTCAACAAGACAACTACTTTGGTATCTCAACTGTGCTACATTTTGTCACCTACAGCAAGGTAAGACAAGAGTGTGGGCAGGCCCACAGGAAAAGCAAATAGACATGCAGAAAAAAAGCAGTTAATTAACCTCCTTAGCTTAAACCTGAACTTGAAAGTTACTCCTTCACAAGATAAATAAATGTATGAAGGGATATAAGGGTATTCAAAACCTTCACTTGTCTTCCTGCTTGAAAATAAAACATAAATACATTAGGAATGGAAAAGGAAACTCAAAGGACAGATTTTTCTCTCCAAAACCTAAACTAATGTACAAACTGCTTGTCTGATTAAGAACATTTAGAAAATAGTGCTGGAAATTAATACTTTGTGCCAGAACAGAATTGAAAACAATTCAAATTCATTTAATACTCCTAAAACCATGTCAGAATTAAGCCTTTTGCTTTGAGACAGCTAATAGTTCAAAATGGGCTCAAGAAGTCCCTCAAAACCATCCCAAAGTCACAAATAACACTGCAGACTTAGTAAATTTAAAGTGTGAAATAAAACCCTTCATCTACCTGCCAGCACTCACCATCTCCTTCTTCCTTTCCATCTCCTCTTGTTCTTCCAGATACAGCTCTTGGCGGATTTGTTCCTGCTCTTCACGCTTCTGTTGTTCTCTTTCCATAGTCTCAGCAACCTATCACAGGAAGGGAAGGTTTCTAAATGAAAGACAAAAACATACAACAATTTTTTTCTACAATTTCAATTTTTAATACCATGTTTTGAACTTTCTGTTTTTTCTCCTCAGTGTCTCGAACTTTAGCCATCCAATCATCTTCTCTCTGTCGCTGCATGTTGGCAAACTCCATAATTTTCCTATTTTCTTCTTCCATCTCTTCCTTTTTCTTTCTCCTCCACATAGCTTGTTCTTTTATAAATTCTTCAATATATGTCTGAGTTTCTCTCACTTTATCTAACTTTCGTTGTTTTTCCCTGTAGAAGATGGAAAAAAAAATGTTCAAATAGTTTCCTGTTACTGTAGAGTAACATTAAACTGACCTCACCATTAATATATCCCAGAGACTAAGATTTAAATGACTCTCCTTAAACATTCAGCTAGAAACTAGACACCTAAATTTAAAATACCTATTACTGAGCTGCTCCAAGAAGGGAATCTCATGTCTAACATCTTTCAGGAGTGCAGACTGTTCACCCAGGTCCTCACTACTACT